AAAAAAAGAAAAGAAATGAGTAAACCAAGATATATATATATATATATATATATATATATATATATATATATTTCTTATAGTACCTGGAAGGTGCTCAGTAAATGTAAAAAAAAGTCACAAAAGGATCCACTGACCCTATAATACTACATTTGTGAATGTGTCCCTTAAGAAAATCATCCTGCATAAAAGTAACATAAATGTATTTATAAACTGGGTGCAGTGATGACCACCTGTAATTCCAGTGCACTGAGAGGCCAAAGTAGAAGAATCACATAGTCTCAAGATTGCAAACTTGGGAAATATAGTGATTTATTGAGTTTCTGTCTCAAAATGAAAAATGAACATTGGCTAGGGATGCAACTTAGTGTGAAGGCTCTGGGTTCAATCCCCAGTACCGCATGAAAGTATTTATATGTATGTACTATATATGCACACACAGATACAGCTGGCTATGGTAAAATCCTAGAACTAACTCCAAGACTATGCCAACAAGGAGTAATAGCTGTGCAGCCTTGAAGTGCAGAAAAAGTGCACAATTTAGCAAAAACCATCCAGTGTATAGACTTCGCTGAAGTAAAACTTTCTGAAAATCCAAAAAAGTGTTTAAAATGATATATACATATTTATTGCAGAATGAAAGCTGAGAAATAATTTGGAGTGATAAAATTGAGAGATGATTACACATTTTTCCCTTATTAAGTTGCTCAAGATTTTTGGAATTGCTCCCTTTCCTCCCAAGAAAGGAAATGCAAACCAGGCACCCAGACACCCAGTCAGCTGGGGAGCTCTCCAGGGTCTGCCCATCCCAAGCAAGGCCTGCAGTGGCTACAATGTCCCTGCCAGACTTGCTGGGTCCCTGATGGGAAGTGCTGGCTGCTGGTGGGCGCTGAAGAGCAGGCTGACTTTCCAGTCATTGAAATGTGATCAGTTGGTGGCAGAATCACCTTCCTTAATGAGTGAATTGGCCACAGCTGATGCAGTTCCTTTGCCCAGAGCTCTTTGAGTAGATGCCATGTAGAAATATTCCCTGTCACTGACAGGCCATCCTTGGCTGTTTTTAAAAAAGATAGCCAAGAATTCTGTCAACATCTTGAAGTAAGACACCTCCACCAAAGCCCAGCTACCCCCAAATCTGCCATGATAATAACCAGTTATCATACTTAGAATTACCTTAGTTTTATATTATGCCCTATCATTCGAAGGGACGTTTTTCACATACAAAAAACCCCAGTGAACATTTCCCTGTATACAAAGTATTGTAGCAGTAGAAGCATGAATGACTGTTGTTATCCTTGTTTCTACCTGATCCTTAGAGCTGTGAAGGAGGCAGGGTAGACCTTACTTGAGTTTTACAAGTGAGAGTTATACACAAGAATGTCCCCATATCAGCACATGGATGGTGATTCTGATGTCAAGTATACATAGAGGGAATTAGAGTGGTTCAGAGAGGGTAGGGGGGCTGGGGGCCATCAAGGAAGACTTTACAAGAAGGGTTGGGATTTGGGGCTTGAGAGGACAAGATTTTGGGGCAAACTGAACCTGGAGTGTCTGTGGGAGAGGTCATAAAGGGGAATGGGTGTCTGTTACATGTGATTAGAATTGAGGCCAAGGGGAAAATGGGATTCCCCACCACAAAGCCCTCAGAGGAGGGGGTTTGGGTGCCCCATTTGCTAAGTCCTGCCTCTGTGTACCTTCCTGCCCTGCCTAGAGTGGACAGAGGGCCCAATGCTTGATTTTGCCACATGGAGTCTCCTTGCGCCTCTCTGTGTGTCTGAGTCTGAACCATGGAGGCCTGTGGTGGTGCCTTTTTTTGTGAAAATGGTGGAAATAGGAGAAAGGGCAGGAGGAATGGAGTTACTGAGACCCAGAAGTGCTGGGGCTGAAGGTTTATCAATTCCAGGCTGATTCAAGCCCTGAAGCATCAGCTCGAAGGCTCACTCAGTGGCACTACTCATGATGACGATGACCCCATCCAGAGACCCTTGAGGTAATTCTTCCCTGTAGGAAAAGCACCATTGGGACACCCTCCTAGTTAGCTGCCTGTGAGATACAATGGAAAAACCTGCTTTCATTTTCCACCCAGAAACCATTTAAGGGAGAATCTCTCCCTTTAGGAGAAATTCCACTGAAATGCAGTCCATTGACCTTATGCTCTGAAGGCGTAGCCTGCAGCACCTCACCATGGGCATGTGACACAGACTGAAGATTAGCATCATGCCCATCTAGGATATTTCTCAGCCTGGGCCGGGGCTCATCTCCATATTTGGCCATCTGCTGAGGGCTATGCCTATCACCAAAGTCATCAACCATCTTTACTGCTAGGGAATAATGCCATGGCTTCTATTCTTCTATACTGTGGAGGTAATAAAGGCTCCCCTTGTGCTTCAGTCTTAGCATAACCACTAAGTTAATCTCATGTAATATAGTCTGGGAAACTGAGGCCCTGAGAGCTGGCTCAATGTGTCAACTGGCTATTGAGTGAAGGCCATTGACTGAATAGAGTGTTTTTCTCCAGTCTGGCTCTTTGGAACTCACTGAGTGTCAAAACTCAAGTGGAAGGCCGGGGATTTAGCTCAGTGGTTTCACTGCCTGCTGCGCAAGCGCAAGGACCTGAGTTCGATCCCTGGTACCAAAAAAAAAAAAAAATCAAAAAACACAAGTGGAAATCTCTTTGTTCACATAATATTCTATTTTTCTGTAGAAATTCCTCTCTTTTTAAATTCTCTGGGAGTAGGATATAAAGAGCACCTTTTGCCTTAGAAGTCTCTAGTGCTGCTTCAAATCCCACATCTAATTAATAATTTTTTATCATATTAATAATCATTTAACAATGTTACTATTAATAAGGTCTGCTTATTGTATGTTGGCTATGTGTTTACTATGTACAGTAGCATGTGTGCATAATGTACTGTGCTAAGAATCTTATACATTTAAGTACCTTGGACACTCTCAGCAATCTGTAGTGTGGATTTTATTATGTTGATTTGACAGGGGAGGAAACTGAGGCATAGTAAAGTGAAAAAACATCACACAGGTGGACGGTTGGTGAGCTTAGGTTCAGTTTCAACTCTACTGACCTTCAAGCCCCTGTTCTTAATGTTATGTCTCATACCACCCTTTCACATGTACTCACTCAGGAAGTATGGCTTCAGCTTACTCAATCCATCAGAAATATTTCATTTAAATAGCCAAAAATCTGATACGTGCATATTTTTCCCAATTTCAATCTCACTAACATTAGGTAAAAATAAACTGTAAAAATGTCTGAAGAGGTCATGGCTCTGGACTAAGTCCCAAAAGCATACATTTAAGTTGTCCCTTGGTCTAAGGAGCTACAGACTGAGACCTTAGCCCCTTTTCCCAAAGGCTTGGTGACAGTCGGGTGTCCAGGGCTGTTGTGTGTTAGAGTAACACTGTATGAGTCCTCAGAAAAAGTCCATCTGAAGATCTGCCTTCCCAGCCTCTGTGCTATGGCCACTGACTATTTGGCATTTTGAAAAAATTGCACTGAAAATAGATAATATGATGGCTTCCTGGACAGCTCATTTTAATGAGGAAACCAGGACTCAGAAAGATTAAGTAACTTGGCTAAGGTCACTTGGCTTTGGTGTGTTTAAAAGAATGAATTCATGAAAATCATGTGAATTATTTATTTGACTAACTCATTTGCAAAGGCTGCTATGTATAATTAAATAGTCCATGGGTGGACAAGAACAAAAATGACTTGGAAAGGCACATGAGGATTAGAGGAGATTTTTTTTTTTTAGTACTGGGAATCAAACTTGGGTCCTTGCGCTTGTGAGGCAGGCAGTGGAGCCACTGAGCTAGAGGCCCCTAGAGGAGAGATTTGAAAGAATCATGCCTCTTGCAGAGGGCCAGTGGGGAAAACCATGAATCAATAGCCTTTACTCCCAAAGTTGGTTGGAAAGACCTTCCTTTCCCAATGCAGCTTGACCTTTCGAGGATGTGCCATGGCAGTGGGGACACAGAGCTTTCTCACCTGCAAGCAAATGAGAATTTATTTGGCCCTTTCATAAAATGCAGATTCTGTCCTTTAGTTACGCAGTCCTGTGACTGGAGTTCAATATGGTTGTTTTCAAAAAAATTATTTAGTTTAACCAGTAGCTTAACAGAGTTCTTTTTTTTTTCGGTTTTTGTTTTTTCAAACAAGATCTCACTGTGTAGCCCAGGCTGGCCTCAAACTCATGGTGATCCTCCTCCTGCCTCAGTCTCCCAGGTGCTGGGATTACAGGCGTGCCACACCTGGCATCTAACAGAGTTCCTGACACAGAGCTAAGCAGCCAAAATGTTGAAGAATGAAATACTTTAATCCTCACATCTCTGAAAATTCTCCCAAATTTCCTCACAGTCCTACAGATGTGTAATCTGAGGCTCAGAGTTTAAGCAATGTACTGAAAGCCATTCTTTTGTGTAGGTAACAGAGCCTGATTTTCAGAAGCAAAACTCTAAGGGCACCCATTTCATTTGTCATCAGTTTTTGGGAAACTCTCAAGGAAACAATCACAGAAAATTGCAAGATTTCTTCTTTTTTAAAAAAAATTGCAAGATTTGTAATGATTTTTCCAGCCTTCATACAAATTCTCACGTAAACCAAGGACTAGGTGATTAATCGATAATGGAGGGAAATGAATATAATATCTGCCACTCATCCCATTTCTCTTCTTTGCAGCTCCCAAAGTGGCTGGAATCCATGAGAAACTGAATCCTTGGAGAGTGAGCGCCCTCAGCTGCCTCCCTGCTACTTGGAAGCGCCTCCTTCACACCAGGTTGCTGCTGAGGTCTTTTTCATGTGGCATTAGAGCAGTTGCTTGTTTTATTCTCACCAGGCTGATTTGAAAGATAAAATCAGCTTCTTGGCCAGCAGGCATTGTGGGTGTGAGAGTTGAGGGACCATGGGTCTTGGCTTACTTTGCTGAGGTGGTGGGGTTGGCTAGTGAAGCTGGGTGCCTACCCTGAGATGGGTCCCCCGCTTATAACTAATGAGGAAGCTCCCCATCACCAAAAGAGAAACAAGAAAGACTCATTGCCTCCCTTCTCTTTCTGTTCCAGTGGGAGACCAGGTTTGCCAGGTAGATGGTGCTTGTCCCTGGGATGAACAGGGAGAAGTGACATCCCTTGGATTTCCCCCGGAGATCCCCAGAACACCCTGGTCTTTATCTCCCTTGCTGATGGCACTTGCTGCAGCAGCCCACTAAGGGCTCTTTTCCTCAGGATCCTGGACTTGTGAGGAGGACTCCAGGCTGGGAAGATGCTGAGTTCCATCAAGTGTGTGCTGGTGGGAGACAGTGCAGTGGGGAAGACCTCACTGTTGGTGCGCTTCACTTCGGAGACCTTCCCGGAGGCCTACAAGCCCACAGTGTATGAGAACACGGGTGTGGATGTCTTCATGGATGGCATCCAGATCAGCCTGGGCCTCTGGGACACAGCTGGGAATGATGCTTTCAGGAGCATTCGCCCCCTGTCCTACCAGCAGGCAGATGTGGTACTGATGTGCTACTCCGTGGCCAACCATACCTCCTTCCTGAACTTGAAGAACAAGTGGATTGGTGAAATCCGGAGCAACCTGCCCTGCACCCCAGTGCTGGTGGTGGCCACCCAGACTGACCAGCGGGAGGTGGGGCCCCACAGGGCCTCCTGCATCAATGCCCTGGATGGCAAGAGGTTGGCCCAGGACGTGCGAGCCAAGGGCTACCTGGAGTGCTCAGCCCTCAGCAACCGAGGTGTCCAGCAGGTATTTGAGTGTGCCGTCCGGACTGCTGTCAACCAGGCCAGGCGGCAAAACAGACGGAGGCTCTTCTCCATTAATCAGTGCAAGATCTTCTAATGCCCGAGACCCTTCAGCTGACGCTCATGAGCTCGCCCCAGGGGTGGACTTGTGGAGAGATGGGAACAGGCAGGCGGCTTGTGGTGTGTTCCACACAGCCCGTGCTTTTGGGTACAGATGCTGATGAGGCTGGATGATATTTTCACTAACTACTCCTACAGGTGGACTCCTGGCCCAGTACCATCAGAGAACTCCTTTGAGAAGCTGTAATGAATATTCCATCTTTAATTAAGAAACTAAAATGGCTCCATAGTTTTGGACAGTGAAGTGCATTTCCCAAATACTCCATATTTAAAGACACATTTTATTTAAATAATTACAAAATGTCTCGCTCTTGTATATAATTAGTTTTTGCACTTGGAAAGACTTTTCCTACATACTTGCAAACAAATTGTTGTCTGAGGGATGTGACTCTGTGGGGTTTTGCATTATGTGTATAGTGTTATTATTTTCCCCCAAAATGGGAATTTGGTCGAAACCACTTGCCTGCTGGATTTTTCTAGGAAAGCAAATTTTAAAATGACCATGAACTGTTCCTTGCAATTCACTGTCACTTACCTGTTATTCAGGATTTTATATATAATACAGTTCAATAACATATCTTAATGCTTTCCAATGATTTTAAACAGTTACTGCTATATTTCTCTGTAATTATAAAAAAGCATTTCTGCTTTATGATATTACCTTTTAACAAAAGAACTTCAGTTGCACACTAAGTATTTCTCTCTCATTCACCAAGACAATTGAAAGAAAAACTTTTCAGAGGAAGTCACACTGCCCTAAGCAATAGCAGCAGACCTGGGAACAGAGGTGAGGAAATGTCACCGTCACATTAGGGGCCACTGCTTCTTGCCTGCTCTTACTGTGAGGTGGTTCTTCATGGTTGCTGGTCTCGTGAAAGAGGGCTGCATAGCGTGTTCTCATTGCAACTCTAAACTGGCAGGCGTGACAATGTAACTTATTAGTCTGAGGATCTAATCAGAATAATTAGCAAGGTGCCTACATTTATATGTGTGTAAGGGGAAATAGGTAGAATTTATATATTTTTAATCTGATGAATATAAAGCATCTGAGTGAAAAACAAAAATCACTAATCCCAAGCACAGGGAACAGGAAAGCTGTGTAGAAACTACTAGCTAACAAGTTATCAGAGAAATAATAAATACACACACGCACACACACACACACACACACACACACACACCCCTCAAACCTCATTCTATCTAGTTGCTTAAACCCAATGATGTCTCTCATCTGCCAAAGTTGAGAAGAGAGGACTGTGTACTCCGAGAAGAAATTGGGAAGAGATACCATTTATTACCCCCAGATATATCATTTACTCCCCCAAATAAAACCTAGAACCCCTTGAGCCCCATTTGGGAAAGCACTCCATCATTCTGGGGTAACGTGGCATTTACACCTACATTACACATAGAAGGAGAGGCAGCTGGCAGAAACGACCAAGTCAGTTTTTCAGATTCCTTATTTGATCAATTCTTTACAGTTATATTAGTGTCAAAAATCAGATTTGTGCTCACCCCATACTCCTTTCTTTTCTTCTCACCCACATGAAGTAAAAGGCCTGGGATCTGGGTCTTAGTCTCTGGGGGGAGGCTTGTTTGGATTCTCTAGGGTTGATGGCTCAGCCACTAGCTGGTATCTCAGACCTTACAGTCCCCTGACCTGTCCTTGCCTCTGTGTCATCTGTGTCCCTTGACTCGAGAGCCTCACCTCCACTTCTCAGCACTGGCATCCTCAGGGTTGGAGAGCTGACGGGGCAGGGGGCAGATGGGGCTCATGTCCCTGACATCCCTGCTGTCCTCTCCCTGTTCCCCTACACACGGAAGGTCTTTAACAAAGAATGCAATTTCAAGACCAGCCTTTGCAGTGTGTGTGCATGCATGTGTGTGTGTGTAGGGGGTGTGTTGAGCATGTTAGAGTTTCTGCTTATTAAAACCAAGCGTCCCTTGTGGTTTTTCCCCTTCTTGTTGGTGGGGAATGCATATCCGAACGTGGGAAGGGCCAAGGTACCTGGTTCAAGAGGTCCCTTCCATGTATGAAGCCAGGGAGGAAGGGAAGGCCAGAGAGGGCACAGTCACATGGCTTTGCCACCACCTGAGCAAGGACACACAGATGAGACTGTGCCTATTTCCAGGAGCCAAGCTCGAACCTGAGGCTGAGCGTCTATATGTGAACCCTTCCCAGTGGAGACCTGGTAGGAATTGGGCCAGTCAGTGTCTGTCTCCCTGAGGGACTCTGTGCTCTTAAAGGCAGTGCCAGCTCCTAGCCACCTCCGCATGCCCAGGGCCAGCACAGGGAAGGAATCCAATTGCTTTGACTTGAGCTGGAGAAGAGAAATTGGGCTTCTGTGCTGCAAAGTGGTTATAGGAAGGGCACAGACCCTCACCATCTTGAAAGGGTAAGAAGTGAAAATCGATCTCTTTTTCCAAATTGTTGGTATTCACGTACTGTATGTCCTACCCGAGCATATGTTATTTTTGCCTGCCTAGACCAACGCATATATTTCTTTCTCTTCAATATTTGTGGTACCTTTTTATTGAGTATTGTATGTCTGTTCTTAGCTCTTCTGAGTAGCAAAATTAAATATGCTCTTGTTTAAAGAATGGATCTGAGTGGTCGAGTAATTCTTCCCTTGGCTTATTCAGTCTGGGCTGCTGCAGTGGGACACCATGTGTGGTGTGGCTCGAGTGGCAGAGTTCTGGAGGCTGGGGAGTCTGAGATGGGGTCAGAGTGGTTGGATTCTGGTGAGGGCCATCTTCAAGCTGCGACCCTCATGAAGAGGAAGGAGATTGCCTCTCTTGAGTTTGGTCTCCTGAGAGCACTAATCCCATTCATCAGGCCTTCTCGTCCTAATTACCTTCCTAAGGCGCCACCTCCTAATGCTATCACACTGGGGGGTAGGCTCCAACATGTGCATTTGGGTGGGGACAAACCCTCCCATCCTTAGCAATGCTATTCTGTCCTGCTTTATACTGACCAGTTAAATACAGCAGCAGTGTCTAGCATGATGAAGTTTGGCTGAGTGACAAGAAAACAGAAAACGTGCTCATGGTTAAAGTTTACTGAGTGCTTTGGATGTGCTGGGCCCTGGGTTGAACAACTGAATGTCATTATTGCAGCACATGGTGTGTAAGCAGCTCACGTTATAATAAGTCTCTTCTTACATGAGAAAATAGGCTCAGCATGTTAATGCGACAAGTCTGAGACATACAGCAGGTGAACAGCACTACCAGGAGTCTCAAGCAGGTCTATGTGACTCCAAAGTGCTGCACAAAACCCACTTCCTCCCAGAGCAGCCTGGCTGAGTGGCTTTGCCACATCCTAGCTCATGTAGCTTGCAGCCCCACCCCAACCAGACAAGGGACCTGTGCTTAAAAGATTATTTTTATTTTTTTGTGGTGCTGGAGATCCAACCCAGGGGTGTGCACATGTTGGGCAATTATTCTACCATTCAGCTACACCCCAGCCCTAAAACCTCATTTTAAAATAAAATATTCCAAGTGTGACTTTAACCCTTCCCTCTCATTTTTCTTTCTGGTAATGAGAAACGAGCCCACGTGATTCACAAACATCGTCATTTGCAAAGCTATCCATTCCAACCTGTGGCTTTTCAGTGTGATTCCATGGGTCGATAGCGTATGACTTGGCGGAGATAAAATTCATAATGATTTGATGCTTTAGAAAGCCAGGAAAACATTCTCTTTTTCTTATCTCACTTCTTCACCCCCAGGTTTTAGATATTTCCTTTGAATGGGGGAGTGACAAGGGAGAGAAGAGCCTGGTCCTTTCCTTTCAAGGATTTGGTGCCCGGGATGAGATGGGGTAGAAGGATGACACATCTGTAGGGCTATGATGTGGCCCAGGACACAGGTTGTCTGTGAAGATCCATGCCCTCCTCAGCGCCGAGATCCTTTTGGCTTGAATGAGATCAGCACAACTCTGCAGTTGGGACTTATGCGTCCTGATAAAGCAAAGAAAAGTAATCACTGGCCAAACTCTCAAGCAGTATAAACTATAGAAATTACTTGTGAGCCAAGTTCATAAAGAGTACTTGATTAAACTTATAAAGTCCACATTAGGTTCTGGTATTTATACACAATGGAGTACTGCTCTGTCAAAAAGGATTGAGTCATTTGTAGGAAAATGGATGCACCTTGAGACCATAACATTAAGTGAAATAAATCAGACACAGAATATTGAGTGGTTTCTCTTGTATGAGAAACCCGGAGAAAAATAAAGATAGATAATAGGGAGTAGAGAGATAGATTTTTCTCAAATGGGAAAGGGATCAAGAGATGCAGGGAGGGACAAGGGGAGGAAAGGGAGGTACAAAAGGAATTAAGGTGTGCTATGTACACGTACCAACTCCACACAAGGAATGTAAACATTATGTACTGAAAACATGGACTAATAAAAATAAATAAAAAATAAAATAAAATATATCCTAATATGGAACTTGATAGTTACTGGTAGACAGAAAGTAATAAAAATGAAGAAGTAAGAGGTCAGACCACTATGATGCATTTTGGAGCCAGAAAATCTGGCTTGTGAGTCTTTCAGCCTCAGTTTCCTTCTCTCTCTTTTTTTTTTTGGTATTGGGGATTGAACTCAGGTCCTTGCACTTGCGCAGCAGGCAGTGAAACCACTGAGCTAAATCCCTGGCCTCAGTTTCCTTCTCTTAATCATAGGCACTAATTTCTTGAATCCTCTGTAAATATGGTATAATAATGATTGTGAAGTGCCTTGTGTCTGTCAACTATCACACAGACAGTGTTGTTACTACGTCTTTGGTAGATGCCTATGTAGAGCACAAGCTGAATATTCTAGATCAGATTAGAAATTTCTAGAACTTGTTGGTTGTGGGTCACATGATGGGAGCCCACCCAGAAGCAAGCTCCATTTGTAACATTGTGAACTAGAGCAAGATGGGTAAAATGAGGCTTAGGATAATAAAAATAGCCACAAACTATATTCAGATGCCTACTGATTCCAGGCCTGTGATGGGCACTTTACAGACAGCCCTCATTTAATGCTCAGAATGGTCTTACAAGGCAGATATTCTTCCAGTCAATGAGAAACCGAGGCTTAGACACATACATAGAGCTATTTCCCTTTTCGTTACTTTTCAAAATGTTCCTATTTAACCATCTAATTTCACTGTAATAAACCTGACCAGCTAAAATGACACGATCAGCTGTACTTAGTGTTCCCTGCATTTGCTAATTGAGCCGAGAGGGCCAGGCTGTACTGCTGCACCATGGGGCGAGTGCTGAGCAGTGCTCAGCAGTCTTCCTGTGTGACCTCCCTCATGTCTCAGGGGGCTCCCAACCCATGGATCTGGCTGGTCCCTGCTTGCTGTCCTCAGTCCCCCTATTTCATGTTCTGCTCTTCCCTGCCCTGCTCTGTGCCTGCAGGAGAGCCCCGGGGACCCATCAATCCCTGGGATCTCTTCCTGGTTGGCTTTCATCTGGGTGTGGTGCAGGGAGACTCTAGCAAGAGGTCAGAAGATTGAGAAAGGGATCGCAGGGTGTTTTTCCCCATGCCTTTCCTATTTGGTGCTGCTTATTAGGCAACAGCTGAGTCCCTCTGTGGCTGCAGCTCCTGCTGGGCAGCTTCTCTTCTTCTGTGGCTTCCACTTCCTTTGGGCTCTGAGATAGGATTTCCTTTCCTCATCCCTCAGCCCTTAAGGAGGCAGTGACTTCCTGATGGTGCTCGTTTTTGGATGCAGTGACATCCCTGATGTGGTCCTTTAGTAGAGATCTCTATGAGCAGTGCTTTCAGTCAAAGCTTTATATTTGAACCAGGCAGAAAAAATTTGGCTTCCTGTTGGACTCTGAGTGAAACATGAAATATTAACTCATCCATGTGTTCTGGCATTAAGTGCTTAATCATACCCTTGATGAAAGGGTAGGGGTTGGCAGCATAGGTAACTGTCCTTCCCAGAGCCAAGAAATATCACTCTCTACATCTATTTGTTTTGGGGAAAAGAAGTGTGTTGATTAATTTTATTCTGAATAAGCAAAAGAATAGATTTAGGATAATAGTGTTCAAAAGTTGTAGGTCTTCCAATGACACATTCATATTTAACAAACTCTGTTATTATCCACAAAATGTAAAGAATGACTATGAACCAATAAGAAAAATAGTCCAGTTTTGAAATGGATCTTTCCCAGAAGAAAAAACATACGTGACCAATAAACAATAGAAAATGTTTAAACCCATCAATGAGATATCATTTTTTTAACTACCATTTTGACAAGAGCATTAAAAAGTATGACAATATCAACCATTGCAAGGATACAAAACAGTAGGAATTCTTATATGCTGTTTATGCAAATGTAAATCGGTGTATCATTTTGGCATTACTAAGTAGTGTGGAATATCTTATACCCTTATCCTAGAGATACCCTTGCATCCATTTCTTGGGAGATATGGTTGCGAATGACCTTAGTAACGCTGTAGGTAACAGTGAAAACTAGAAACAACCCAAGATAATAAACAAAGAGTAGTTAAACAGCTTGGTGCATTCACACATAGAACACTAACATGAATGCACACTAGCTGCACATATCGACAGGGTTCCATATAAGCAACGTTGAAGGCCAGAAAAGCAAGTGGCAAAATAATATATGCAGTATTACTCCATTTATATGAAGCTCAAAAATGTGAAAAGAATATAATGATACAGTTTTAGGGATAAAGCACAAGAATGATTAGCACAGAATTTAAATGGGCAGCTACCTCTTCCTGGGAGGAAAGTGTGTGACTGGACAGGGTCCCCAGAAGTGTGACAGACACTGACAGTGTTTAAAACCTCTTAAGTTTGGGACATCAGTAATGGAGTTCATTAACTTTTTCGTAGTATTATTTATTCCTCAAAACATTCTTATATATCTTATATGCTTTTTGTGTGTATGATACAATTTATGAAACACTTTTTAAAAGTTCAGGTTTTATAGCCAAATTACCTGGTCTTGAACCCTAGCTCAGCCACTCCCTGGATCTGTGCCTTGTGGAGGTTAACTAATCTCTCTGTCAGTTTCCTCGTGTGTAAAACAGAGAAGATAATATCAGAGAGTAGTGAGGATTAAAGGAACTAATTCAGATAAGGCTATATTATGTCTGGTACACAGTAAGTGCTCAAAAAATGGCAGCTGTGTTTTTTTTTCAGTATTGAACCAAAGGCTTTGCCCTGAGTCATCCCCCTCCCCCCATACATTTTAAATTTCACCAAGTCACTAGGTTCTCAGGCTAGGCTCAAATCTGTGATCTTCCTTCCTCAGGCTCCAGAATGCTGGGGTCACAGATGTGCACCATCATGGCCAGCAGCTGTAGTATTTGATTGTTATATACCTCAGAACTTCAAGGACCCGCTATTTTATGGATGAAGACACTAAGGTCCTGAGGCTGTGGGCTGGCTTGTCCAAACCCTCTGGAGCTGGTGACAAATCTGAACCAGCTCACTCTTTCTTACCACTTTACTTTGGTGCTCATTTCTGTAAGTTTCCTAAGTAGAGCGGATCTTGGGTTTTTCACTTGTTCACTTTTCATAAATTTGTTTTTCACCCACAGGAATCCTATACTTCATAGTTTCTTGTAA